GCTGCTTCGGAAACAGGCGTCACTTCGGAAACATAAGGTCTGTAAGAGAGAATGGTGTCCAAGGAGCATGATGGTTCACGTCCGTACAGGAGGAAGAAAGGAGAGAAGCCGGTAGTTGCGTGTGGCGCAGAGTTGTACGCATACGTGACAGAAGGGAGCACTTGGTCTTAATTAGTGTGGTCTTCAGACACGTACATGGCAAGCATATCTCCAAGGGTACGATTAAAGCGTTCTGTCATGCCTTTGGTTTGAGGATGGTATGCCGAGGTTTTCCGATGAACAGTGCGATATTCCTTGCGCAGCTCGTCGACGGCGTTCGAGAGAAACACGCGTCCATGGTCACTCAGTAATTCACGTCCCCTATAAATAAGTTCACCTATAAATACTTGTTATTAGTAATGCATCCTAAATATTCTTTTTTAAATCTTTCTAGGTTTACCTGTCTACACGCAAAAAGGTTTTCATGATGACGTGAAAATATGGATAAAATGCTGTCGGTATCGGTTACTTAGTGACCATCCTTCTCTATTTTTTCGATATGATTCCGTCAAGCTTTCGTTTTTTCCACCTCTAACGCTTTTTTGGTTGGCGTCTCTCCAGCCGCTGAAGCCTCAGCCCTAGCACGGACGAGTGCACCGTGGTAGCGTTCCTCGTCATACAGTGGAAGTTTCTGCTCAATATCACGTATGTCAATTTTATGCTCTTCCGGTTGTTTGCACTCCAAGTCAATTAGTCTTTCCGAAGTCATTCGGAGTTCTTTTTCTTTCTTTTTCCTTTCGTAACTCAATGCGCAAGAACGATCATTAGCTTTTATTTCTATTCGCTGCTTGAACTCTTCCCATTGTTCTGCAAGTTTAGCTTCATCATCCATTTTTATTTCATTGACGCAGTTCATTACCTGATCTAAGAAATGTTCGTCAGTGATCAAAGTGGAATTCATCTTCCACAGCTCCCATAAATAAGTTCCATTGTTTGCTTTCTCTCCAATATCACATTTAACTAAACAATGATCACTGAAGTGTTTTGGGTAGACAGCATATGTCTTGCAGTGGGCTATAAATTCAAGCGACACGTAAATGCGATTAAGGCGTGCATGGCTATTCCCCTGAAAATATGTGAAACGCACGTCCCGCGTTCCCTCCATACAGCTGCTTCTAACTCGAATTCAGTAACTATGTCCGCTAGCTTCCTGCTACGTTTATTGTAAAAGGCGCGTCCGTCTGATCGATCTCGCCCTTTGAGGACGCAGTTAAAATCACCATGTAATACAGACTTCCTTTCCAATGTGAAGTGCTGCTTTAGACTTCAAAAAAAAAAGTAATCGCTCCTCGCAAATAGTTGGTGCATAAATACACACAATACGCCACTGACATTCATCAAATACAAAATCACAGGAAATCAATCTATCAGACGAGCAAGAGAAGGTATCTTGCACTACCAGACGCGGTAACTTCGTAATGAACAAAACACAGCCTGCAGACGTGCCTATTGCTTGACTTACAATTGTGTAAGTAACGCGCCGTAAACCTCAGCATCATGCCCCGAGTCTATTCCTCACCGTCTACTTTTGTATCTTGTACAGCTGGTACATCCAGATCATGATCCACGAGCTGCCTGTAAACTTGGCTGTTTTTGCCTGGCGGCTAAACCTCGAACATTTAACGTTGCCACTCTAAGTTTTGGTGCAAAATCCATGGCTACACAGTGAAAAAGTTATCCCGGGGCATGTTGTTTACCTTCAGCGTCTAGCATAGACGCTAGACATGTCGGAGACTCCAGGTGGACTCAAGCCACTGGAGGACAAATGTGGCCAGTGTTTGTCCGTTATCGGTTTGGGACGCAGCCTTGTGCTGCTATGTCACTTGCCACCCACAGTGCACACCTAGCATTCAGTCACCGGGTATATATAGGAACAACATTCTGACCCCCCATGTAGCCCTGAAGGAACCCTTTTTTTTGCTAATATTTAAGCAATAAACAAGCATGGCGTATGTATGAAGTTGCGGTGGCCTAATGTAAGCACTTCAATACACATGGCTTTTATCTTAAGCCTGCCTAATATTTATTATTTTTTAACTATAGCGAAAAAGTTTAATTAGTTGGCGCTCTGTCGTACGGGCTGAATTAGCATTAGCATTAGTGATTGTGGAGCCGTAAAATGCACTGAATCATACACAAAGCCCGCGCGGCCTTGAATGAACAAATTAACGAGGCACATTCAGCAGCTCCAGCGATGAACCGAGGTAGACTACCGCTACCGCGTTTGACGACTAAGCCTCACTCACGAGTACGGCATGGTGATTCGATGAATGACAGCTGGCGATCACAAAATGCTTGCTGATGTGCAGTTTACATCTCGTTATTTTTCCCAAGCACAGAAATAGGTGTCCGCTATCCACGCAGTTTAAGATACGGAGTGATAGACCTAAACGAACGAGACGGTTCGCAGTCGCTGTTCCCGTTGCTCGCATGCATTTCATGGGCATGCATGCATGCCGTACCCTGTTCCTGTGTGTCTCCGCCTCGTTCGGCGCTCGCCTTCGAGTTAGTCATTTGACAGCTGCGGTGGCAAGGCGCAGAAGTCTTTTATTCATTCCAGCAGCCTTTATTTTTTGTAAAACACATTCATTGCCTCGCAGGTAATCAGTGCTAGCTAGCTCGTAGAGCTCGCCACGGCGGCCGGTGCGCAGTGCGAGCTTGACACGATGCCGGCTTGATACCGACGGCATAGCGAGGCGTTCTTACCGCTTAGATGTTGTAGCCGGTGAAATACCACTGACACATTGAGAATCCACCATCGGCGGAGACTGGGCGAGTGCGTCGCCGGCGCAACTCTCCCAACGGTTGCCGGCCAGCCTGCCGTGGTCGAGTGAAGCCTACTTCAGACCGCTTCAAAGTTTTTGACGGTGAAACTCCAGGAGCAGCCACTGACGATCGTAACAGCTTACTTTCGCTACCATTAAATTATTCTTCAAAGTTTTTGTTACTCGGCTCTTTGAAGCGCGGCATTCACGGCGTTTCGTTGAGGAATCGGACCGATGTGCAGTGTAGTTTAACGGTGCGAAATATATTGAAATGTTCACAGTAAACCCCAACCGGGCGTTGGAATTCTTCGCTGCACTTGTTTCGTTGCCTGTTGACAGATGCTCACACGGTTAGCCACACAACGCACCTGTTTTTCACACCGACGTGCAAAGATATGCCCGTACACACACACACACACACACACACACACACACACACACACACACACACACACACACACACACACACACACACACACACACACACACACACACACGCACACCACACACACACACACGCACACCACACACACACACGCACGCACGCACACACACACACACACACACACACACACACACACACACACACACACACACACACACACACACACACACACACACACACACACGTCCCGCCCAAAGAGGGTTTTTAAAGCTCTCATAGGGAGTTTGTAACCATGTGACCTGAAGCACTCCCTGTGGAGTTTAACAAGGTCATCCCGTTCATAAACTCTGTCATTAGGCAGGGGGCGTTTTACGATGACATGTGCCGAGTTCACTCCCTACCAGGGAGTAAATAGTTAGGGCAGGGGAGTTTTGTGGGCTCATGTGCTGGAGAAATTCTCATCTCGGCGAACTTTTGCTTACAGTGTCTGGAAACTTTAGCGCGTTCTTGTGATCAGCGGCGAGATGGTGTGACGGGCTCGCCCTGGGTCGCGCTCTAAAAGTCGTTGCTAGAGTAACTGTATATGGTCCCTACGGCACATATAGGGACCATATAGGGACCATATACAGTTGCTCTAGTCGTCGCCTCTGTGCAGCGCCGCCTCCCTGCTGTCTCTGCAGCGTGCGCGTTTATCAGACTCGTAACTCGGGAGAAGACGAACGTCACTTCGCACCCTGCCGCGACCGCGTTTACGAAAGGAGCGCGTTGCTGACACAGGACGCAGCAAGAGTTGCGACAGTTCTTCGCGCTTGTCCTATGCGCACTTGTGCGCTCGTTTTGTGCGTCATTTTTTCCCGTTTGAACTTCTCGCTTTAAGTGTCGAGCTGTGACTGTTGTTAGTCCGTGCTAGTCCGGTGTATGCTATTTTCTTGCGTGCTATCTGCTTGAGGTGTGCGCTGCAAGTTTTGAGCTGCTTGCTGTTCTTAACGTGACTCATAAATTTGTTGCTGTTGCTGAAACAATGCACAATAAACGTTCGACTACCTCTGTAAGGTCACATTTTATTTTCGTGTTATACGAATTCCTATATAGGAGATCAGTCTCTTTTTCTTATTTAACTGTCTAATGCCCAGGCACTACGATTAATGCATCGCCTTCAGGCCGGAACTGTGATTTTCATGCATGTTTCTAGACGTCAATGTTAGCATAGAGCAAGTATTAACATCTTCCCAAAGGAAACCCTGATGAAATGTGAAGCAGCAGCGTTGGGCGCGATCAGCGTTTTTGACTCGTGCCTCGTCGGTGTCCTTGGTATTCCGCTGCCGACGCTTGGGTTCGGCTTTCCTGACTCGCGCCTCGTCAGTCGTGCAGGCGCGACGTCGCCAATCGCGAACGCGATCTACTCTGCTAACCCACGCAACACCGGTGACGGCCGGCTGAGGCCAGAGCGCGTCGGCGCGTGCTTCGGCGGGTGAAGGAGCTTCGCTTCCCGGCGTCCTCTCCATAGGAAATAAATGAGCTGAAAGAGTGTTCGCTTTATGTGCGCTCGATCATTGTGAGCGGCGGAGAGGATGAAGCAAGAGAGAAGTGACACGCGTGAGCGCGTGGCAGGCGAGGGAGAGAGTGATGTCAACACACACAGCTAGGGAAGGCGTGGCCTACTTGGCACTACCCCAACACCTGTAGCGAGGGCAGCGTGGTGTGGCGCGTTGGCACGGAGACACGGATGGACAACGTTCCACAAGCTAATCAAAGAGCTGCTTCGCATCTAATAATTACTGTAGAAAGACCGCATCAAGGATGTCACTTACCGCACAGTATGACGAAAGTGGCGAAACGTACAACGGGTACCACATCGAAGAAGTCTGTTCCAATCGTGTCAAGCCTTGTGAGCATTTCTCTGGCTTTTCGATTCATTATTGGTGCGTGGTCATCCACTACTCGGAAGTGGAAGGCTGGAGTGATTACCTTGCGTCGGCTTCGCCACATGACTTTTTCACTGCGATCAATGTAGCACAAAAAACAGAGGCGACAAAGTTTTTTAAATTTTAATTGCAGTGGTTGCCATCCTAGCTTTTCACGAATTCAGTGACCTACTTGAAGGCATCGAATCAAACATTCACGTGCTCTGCGTAACGTGAGCCAAATATTCCCACACTTTAGAAGCCACAGTATATGAATGTACGTCAACTATGGAAGACAACCGTATGAGTTTGCTGCTTCAAATGGTCGTGCACATTCAGTGAAATAATTAGGTTGTGATGAGCAAAAACAACCACGATTGCATAACGTAAATGCGTACTTGTGTGAACACAATCACGTGTACTCACCACTCATCTGATTTTTCTGTGCTAGTTTTGTATATACAGGGCAAAACATTGTCCCCCAGGTCTTATTTCTGTAGGATTTCTGCCTGACCCCTTCTCGCGAATTTCGTTTTTTCACAGAAGAAATTATCACACTGTAGTAGGCGATAGATGCGGACACCTTTGTATGCAGCCATGACTTGTGCCGTAAGAAAGCGGAACATCCGCAAAAATACGTAACGCTGGTTATAGCACTGACGTTTAATATATGAGTATCTATCATAGAGACGACTACTGTGTTGCTGCAGTGAAACGCAAGGCGAAAATGAGGTTTCTTGGCGCGTATTCCCTAGCAAGCAAAGAAAACACGGCGGTCACCTGTGGTTCTGTGCGTCACATTATCAGAATCAATGCCCATAGACTGTCGCACAACCAAGAGGAAACTAGCGGTATCATCTCGAGGAGGGTCAGTATACGACACAACGACAGCACTACACAGTCTCTCCCTGGTTCGGCTTTGCTCGCCTCAGTGTTGACTCGTTGCCAAGAAAGGAACACTACGACTTGGCATATTTCCTGCATAACTGAAAAAAAAACGGGCTCTCCGTGACACAAAAAACCGGATTCGTTCTGGCGAGACGTGAGGTTTTCATGAAACTACGTGACAACCTATGTTTTCAATGATAGCCCGCAGCGTACACATATTCGCGAGAGTTTCTGTAGCCACGTAGGTAAGTTAAATGTTATTGTCTGTTCTTTTCAGGTGAGATTCGCCGTGTTTTGCTTGTATATATCATTCGTCAGTGCTTTTGTTATGCGTAGATCCCATAAGATCGCATGCTCGAAGCCGCGTGGTCTCGCGATTTGCTCTTCTATAACTGAGCGATCTCTAATTGACCAGCGCCGCGCCGCTTCTTTTCGTACGTTTTTCGAAGGTGGCAAACGGTTTGCTTGCTGACCGGGGTGAGAACAAAATGTTCTCCGCGCCCAGATCATGGGGTGACGTGGATTGTTCAAAGTTGTTCGGTGGAGGCAATTGATCAGATTGCTTTCAGCGGTGATGCTAAAAAAAAACATTGTGGCAACGAGAATTTCTCAGTAGACATACAAGGCTGTGAGAGCACCGAGAGTGACAGGGACGATGAACGATCATGCAGTTGATAACCCACAAGGAGCGAGTTCCACTTAAGTACTCTCATGCGTTATTGTCTTTTCACGATCATAAGTTACTTTGTATTTAATGTATAATATTTCCATCGAGATCAAAATAAAAGCATGATTTTTCTTGTGCATTGCATGTAGCTCAGTTATTGTGGATATAATTGAACGCCGCATGCCTCCAACAAGCTGCTGCGTGACCATTGAAACAGCGTAGCCAAAGGCGTGCATGTGCAGGCTTCCCCACCAGGGGAACGGAGGGGGTGAAAGCTCGTACTAGCGCCCCCTTCCCTATTCAGTCAATGTATGGGGTGGTATTTTGCACCCCTTTGCCTATTAATATGGGCAGATTTGGCACCCCCCTCTTAGGTGACTAGGTGCGGCCGCCGCCCCACCCCATGCCTTCCGCGTGCGCACGCCTAAGGTTAGAGCGATGAAACGTGCAGTCGCAACCCCCAGAGGTGCAGCCATAAAATTTTGTTCTGGGACGGGGGTACTTACCTATATTTTAGGTATGTTCATACGTGCGTATTTATGTGCATGTATATATAACCAAAAAAACCTGAAAAAAATTTTTGAGGGGGGGGTAGAATCCCCCCTCCTGGCTAGGCCCCTGACGGCCACAATGCACGCCTCTCGGCTAAATTCACCGGTAAATTTCGAACGGTACTGTTCGATTAATTTTGGCAATGTTGCGGAAGACATGCGTGTGCATTCTTTTCGATATTGATGTTTCGATCGCACTCATCTAACCTGCAAATTCGGAGGGAATTGCGCGCGGCTAGAGTCTGAGCATGTCTGCGGCACAAGCACTGCTGAATGGGATATTGAGTGCTTGTGCTCCGTTTGAACTCTGTGTTCCTGAATGCGAAAGTAATGACGACTTCACAATATGCTTGCAAACTATCACAATGTTGAACATTCGGTCCCATGCAGCAGCGACGGCGCTACTCGCTAGCGGCATGCTGCAGAAAATCTTTCGGGCAGGCTTGGTACATTCTGTCTGCATTCTGTCTTACAGTTATTCTGTCTGTACAGCTATTATGTCTCGATATACCCACACCGAAGTTATCACGATATATTCCGGGCCCGACACACGCACGCAGGCATGCACCAACACGAGGTAAACTTGTGGAATCGCTGGCCGTATCAGAAGATGTCCACGAAGTTACGTATTCAATATAGTGTGTTTTAGCTGAAAGAAGGTACCGGCGCACGAAGGACATAGAAGATTTACGGACTGCTAGACGTATGCACAAGAAGATCAAACGTCGGTTGGACAAGCTAGATTTCCAACGCTGGATTACTTTCTGCGAGTCACTCGACCCTCGTAAGCCTTTATCGCAGATATGGAGGACGGTTAGAGGTTTGCGGTCATCGCCCATTCAGAAGTCACCATTCAAGGCCTTAGCCCTTCACCAAAATCGACCAGATGTGGACGTTGCTGAAGAGTTCTGTGCCGGATTATCAGGGCAAACTCCAGCCATCAGCAGCTCACCACTTTCGAGCAGTTGTCCGCCACCACGTGACTCCTGTATGGACTTCCCGTTCACCATTCAGGAGCTGAAAGCAGCACTCGCTTCATGCAAACGGACCTCCGCACCAGGACCTGACGGAATCTCCTACAGAGCCCTGTGTCATCTGGCTGAGCGCGCGAGAATAGCTCTACTTCAGCTATATAATGATTGTTGGCTAGAGGGCACTGTCCCCTTAAGTTGGAAAACTAGTCGTCTAGTACCATTACTAAAACCTGGCAAATCACCATTGGAACTCTCCTCCTATCGCCCGATCGCATTGCCTAGTGATGGAGAGAATGATTCTCGGCCGACTCGAGTGGTACTTGGAGTATCATGAGATCTACCCAAATGCCATGGCTGGCTTTCGACGTGGTCGATCATCGATCGATAGCGTCATCGACCTAATCACGTACGTTGAACACGAGAAAGGCCATAAGCGTCTTTGCGCCTCTCCGTTCCTTGACGTCAAAGGAGCCTATGATAACGTTACACATGAAGCTGTCCTTACCGCACTAGAAGAGATTGGAGTGGGTGGCCGAATGTTTAAGTGGATACGCAGTTATCTCCAAGTGTGATCCTATTTTGTGAGTACAGAGACCGGGAACACGTCTACACATTTCAGTTGTCGTGGCGTCCCTCAGGGTGGTGTACTGAGCCCCGTGCTATTCAATATAACACTAATCGCTCTCAATATGCACCTACCAAACAATATTTATCTATCAACATACGCTGATGACATCTGCATCTGGACATCTGCGGTAACTCGCCTGCAGTTACGAGCGAGAATACAGAGAGCTGCTACTGCAACTACTTTGTATCTACGCAATCGAGGCCTGGAAATTTCCTCCGGAAAGTGCGCTCTTCTGGCATTTACGCGCAAACCCATGTCGAATTACAGAGTGTCAAATAACGGTCAAAATATACCATATCGTCGATCTCACAAATTTCTGGGTGTCATAGTCGACAGAGACATATCATGGAGCCCTTATGTGTCGTATTTGAAAAAGCGATTGACAGGCATATGCCATCTTTTCAAGTTTCTCGCTGGAAAGACTTGGGGAATGCAGCCTAATACTATGTTACGACTGTACAGGGTGCTTTTCCTTGGCTTTTTACGATACAGTCTGCCTGCATTATCAAACGCCAGCAAAACAAGTCGACGCATGATACAAAGCGTTCAGGCACAGGCGCTTCGAATATGTCTAGGTCTGCCTCAGGGTGCCTCAACAATGGCGACTATAGCTATAGCCAAAGACCACCTCGTGCAGACCCATATTGAAATTGAAGCTTTGAGGACACGCATCAGGCATGTGGGCCGGACTCCCCATCACGACCTAGCCTCTCTACTAGTGGATAGACCTCATACTTCCTTTTGTCGAACAATAACTACACATGGTGACTCCCTACCAACTGGTTTTACGCCCGCGGCGAGACCTTCAATTCCTCCATGGTGCCTCAAACAGCCAGTCATCAACCTGACAATACCAGGCATCCAGAAAAAACGAGATTTCTCAATACCAGCCCTCAAGCAGCTCGCCTTACTTCTGCTGTACGAGAAGTACCAAGACTGCACCCACGTCTACACCGACGGCTCCGTCCTACCAAACAGCTCAACAGCGGCGGTCGTTATTCCAACGTACGCCACAACCATCAAATTCAGGACTGCTCATGCAACCACAAAAAACGGCAGCAGAGCTTGCAGCGCTTCGCGCTGCGCTGCGTTTCATTAACGACCAAAGCACGCAACGGTGGACGATTTTCTGCAGCTTAAAGGCGGCACTGCAGTCACTTCTGTCAAATCTACGCCGTGGTCCACACGAGCAGTTGGTATTTGAAACAGCAGAAATGCTACACCATATAACAGAGAAAGGGCACCACGTTATATTTCAGTGGTTGCCAAGCCACTGTGGAATTATCGGTAACGGACGAGCTGATCAAGCTGCCCGTTCAGCCCATACAGAAGACAACGACCAGTCAATACCTCTCTCAAGGACGGATGCTGCTAGGAGGCTCCGCATTCTGGCTCGCCAACGCTCCATGGCTCTTTGGAATGAGCCTCTCTTTACGCATGCAAGATTACGATCCCTTGATCCAACGTTAAGCATGCAGCTTCCAACAAAAATTCGACGAGGCGACGCTACTGCTCCGTGCAGATTATGGTTGGGAGTCGCGTTTACCCGTGCGTACGCGTTCCGCATAGGTATGGCCGACATCGCCGACTGTGCGCACTGCGGAGATGAAGAAACAATTCGACATATCTTGTGTGACAGCCCGAAATACAACCTGGAAAGACAACATCTTTCTAATAAACTAAACAGGTTAAATGACCAGCCGCTGTCAGAAGAAAGTATAGTGCGCCATCGTCATGACTCATCGTCACAGAAGAAAGCCGCGCAAGCGCTACTGGGCTTCTTACTAACTACTGGCCTGTCGGAGCGCCTCTGAGTGGACTGATTTTGTGTGTGCGTGTGTGTCGGTGTTTTTCTCTTATTTATTTTTTAACTCTCCCTTTCTCTTTCAAACCCCTATTCCCCAACCCCAGTGTAGAGTAGCATACCGGATACTAGCATCTGGTTAACCTCCCTGCCTTCCTTTTTTCTCGTTTCTCTCTCTCTCTTTAGCATAATGGAAATGCTAAAAACGGAGCTGCGTTCCACATCGTGAGCAACACAAGCATTTAGAATAAGGCAGCCTCACTATCAAGAACTATCGAAGGGACGCAACGTCCTATTTCAAAGATTGCTAAGCTACTTTATCTTCGGCAACTGTAGTGCAAATGAAACTGCATGGTGTAAGGATCAAACACAGAAAAGGCACAGGGATCAATCGGCCTATGTCGTCCGGTTTTCGCTGGGAGGAAGGGGCACTTTGCGGTGGCAGGAACAGCAACAGAAGACTGTGCGCTTGGTTCACCGACACGTTTTGAGGAGCCCTTATACTTCTTTTACATAAGAATGCTGTCGGGCAAAACTTCCACCATTTGCATGCCACGTATAACGTTCACTGCGAAGTTTATTTGTGTGTAACGAAACCCCACTTGTATATCCTTAACAATCACTTGCACATCGCCTACCGCGCAAGCTGCTCGGCTGTGAAAGCATTATGTGGGATCACTTTGCGCTGGTCGTTACTTTACGGATTTATACATTCGGACAACTTTTTGACTACGCAATGCGTTCTGGTGTCGTGAGACTTTGGATTAGCTCCTATAATAATGCCCGTCTATCGATGTTCAGCGATGTACTCTGTGCTTTATTGACAGATTGTTCTCAAGGCAGAGTGTTGGACCTTGTCTAAATCACTGTTTTGTGGTTAAAGGTAATGCCACGAAAAACCCAGCAGATCACTTATAGGCGTCTGTACCGTACAAAAGCTTCAGATTGTCAACAAACGTCCTCCTGCAAGTGCGTGAAGACTGGCTGCCTCTATATATTTTTTTTCTTGCCTGCCCTTTTCTTACCTATGCTTACTCCTCTACAAAAGTGGGGCAGCTGATCGGACGCGTCCTTTTAAAATATTCTGCTTCCGACTGTTTTTCCTCTGTTCCGAAATATGCCCTCTTCGGATGATTGTTCGAAAAATCAGTCACCATAGCACGAGAGTGCCTGTAACTCAAGCGCGCCGGAAAATAGAGGGCGAGAACGAAGTATGGGATGGTGAGGGGAAATTTGATATGTCAGTCCAGTCATTAGCCTATAAAATAGAATCAGCTGTTTTACATGCTAGGGACAGGACAAGGGCTTGAATACTATTTGCACATAAGTTATTATTATGAAGACAGCAAGCCTCATTTTTTTATCTTCTCCTGAATGGCAATTCATTGCTGGAAGGCAGTGAGCAGAAACTTAAATTTTGCTGTGGCACTACTGGGGCGAAAAAGTGACAGACATTTCAGTTAACACATTGTGAAGGTGCTGAATAGAAATGATGGGTTATGCGGAAGGGTGAGAAAAAAACAAGGAAAGGGAATTACCTAATCAGCATGCCATTTCCAACCCATGGCTCCATCATCTTGTAGAGAAAGGCCTTGTTCAAGTTCTGGCAATTGGTGAGAATGGACTGGAAAAGATATAATATTTTGAGCTTGTATCACGGCCACTGTCAACAAAAATAAATAAAGAAAAAAGAGTCACCACGGGCTATACTTACTTCGATTGATTTTGGCGTCGTAGCGATGAAAAAAGGCTGTGGACCGTAATAAGCGACTGTCACTTCCTGGTCGTGTATTGTCTTAAACATTTCATTGAAATAGTTGAATATTTCTGCGAATAGATCACATTGAAAAAAAAACAAGGCGCACATTATTTAAAAAAAAACTCGTGCACGCAGGCACAACTAATAACTTGCCCGTAAGATGTCAGCGTACCGGGCGATAAGGTTAAGACATTCAATGTACTCCATAAAATAAAATAAAATAAAATAAAATACTTTGTTGGGCACGTTGGTTCATTCTGTAATAGATTTAACTGCACAAGTTACGGCGCTCGTCTTCTCCTCTTTTGTCTCGTGCTCAAATATATTCTTGCATACACGGGTATATGCAAGGTGTTTTACGAAAATAGAACCAAGTATATATAGAAAGGTGGTGAACCACAGCTGAATGAAACCAATGACAGATGGTTCGCCACGATGTAGCAGTGGTTGGGGTACTTTATGTAGTGCGTAAATAGGTAATCAACTAGGACGAATACTACAAAATTTATAATAATATTCCTTTAGGGGAGAGCTTCGTTTTGTTACAGCGCGAAGAGCATTCCGAAATGATCGATCTGTTTTAAGTGTGAATACACTTTATAAGCGACCCCAAACCATCCACCGCCGTCGGTGGCGTCCGCAGTCTTCTCTCTATCTTTAAAAGAAAGAGGACTTGGCGGGCCGCAGCGCGACGCTCTACCGAATAAGCCACGGACGCGACGCTGATATCGGTGTCAGTAACGCGCCTTATACCCCCTCCCCCTTCGCTCGCTCCTCCGCTCTCCTCGCTCGCTGCAGCTGCGCGCGCACCCCTCTCTCTCGCGCGCCCGCCTTCTCTCTCAGTCTCCCGTCGAGAGCGGGTCGTGAGGGGGAGTAAAGTTAAAATCCGTTGGCATTCGCCAGTGAGTTAACGTAAACTCCCCCGTGTGATCAAATTGCGATTCCCAGGAACCATTACACCATAAAGGCACCATAGTGTGATTAATAAATATAATAGTGCGAATTAATAAATACCCCTCATAGCATCACCCCGTGTATTCGCACTTAACCATGTTCACCCTCGGGGAAATGCTTGGGAGTTTTTTTTTACGTAAAGAGCTGTATTTGAGAGAAATTTTTGTCTCAACGTCATTGGTTGTGAGCCGAAAATCATAATTTCGTCCATGACCACAAAATCGAGACTGATCCGAATAAACTGAGTCGCAAAAAATTTGCGGTCTAAGCGATAATCAAACCACGGTAATCTGCGTGAGGAGCAGGTATTCTAGCACAAAGCCACGGCATTCTTTGAACTTTCTTCGAAAAAAAAAATCCGCCCACATCTTCCCGCATGGTGAAGTCGAGTAAATGCATCGCATAGTGGGGAGGGGGGGGAGGTGGTATCGGGTGGATGGTATCGCGCGGACGGACGTACAAACACGGCCAGAGGATGATTGACAGTTTACCGGTACAAACCCTTCGGAGCTTCGCACCACTCATCATCATCCACTCCGTGGATATGCTGTGATTTTTTTAATGAATGGAGGAGAAGCGTTGCCTTCAACGAGGGGTGATACGCTGATGTGTGATCCAGTGCCTACTTATACAGGGTCACCAGTGATGGTTTGCAGCTTGAACAGTTGGTTTTTACTATAGCAGACGCTGCCTGCATCGGCCTTGCGAGGGGATAGATGGTTATCGAATGCCTAGCTGTTATATCGTCTGTATTATTCCACTTACTGAGTGAAGGAGAAGCGTTGCCTTCAACGAGTGGTGGGACGCTCATGTGCAGTCCAGCGCCTACATATACGGGGTGGCCAGTGAATGCTTGTGAAGCTCAAGGAGTCGGTTTTTACTATAGCAGACGCTGCCTGCGTCGGCCTTGCGAGGCGAGAGAGGGGAAGTGGTGCAAACAGTTGTCACGAGACGTAAGCATGCGGCATGATACGGGAGGCGCGAGCATGCGCTGTGGGGGTGTGGACATCGCCGCCGACACACGACGCGGGACATGATACGACCAAGAAATCTTCCGCATTAAAAAAAAAACACCACATGAATGCCATGTAGAGGAACGAGTCTCTTTGCCCCGCCATGGTGGTCTAGTGGCTAAGGTACTCGGCTGCTGACCCACAGCGGGATCGAATCCCGGCTGCGGCGGCTGTATTTTTGTTGGAGGCGGAAATGAAGGCGTACCAAGAGAATGCTGTAGGCGTGCCAAAAAACACTTACTTTGAAGTAAGTGTTTGCCTTGCCCAACGTTTCCGTTCTTTATACTGCCCGGCAGATGACGCTGTGGTTTCTGCTCTGAAGGGTACATTACACAGCATCCCATGGACGTGGCATTTCGTAGAACTTTTCTTTGCAGCTACTTTTACGAGCGTTCGAAGAAAACGCAGAAGTTTGCGATAACGAAGGTACCACAAAGACGCGACGGCGCGAGTGGAGCATCACCCGGACGAAACAGAATTTTACACAGCCATCGCTATTCTTCATTGTAACGCTAAGCTTTTTTTGTCATGAATCAAACACAAACGCAGAAGCCGCATTTTATTATGTCTTGAAATGTTCAGTGTTCAATTTTATAAGAAGCTTGAATACTAGTGATAGTTTGTACTCGGGACCTTTGACGTCATCGGGCTCGTTCCAAAACCTCCCACTAGGGTTGCATATAGTGGGCGACATTTACCTTAATTTGCCGATCAGTAGAGCACTGTTCTTGAACGTATTTAAGTTTTAGAGATTCTCGAACACTGGCTTTTCACAATGACATAAACTTTTATTTGTCCTTAGTATCTCTTACTCACGTAATTGCATGAAAGAAACGTAGAATTGCACGGGGCGTCAAGAAATTCTCTAATGAGTACGTGTTTTAAAAATTCATTCATTGCAAGTTTTCAGACATACATAATCATCATTAGCTTCAAAAGCATCAACAAAGTAAGAAGGTGCTAAGGTTCCCGTGCGGCCTCACGGGTGCCTAGTGAGCCCTTCCCTGATTCGCAAAAGGATGAATTATGGCGTAGCGGGCACTTATAATTACACTTTTTTGTTCCAAGTTTTTTAACATCATACGCGTAAATTTGCCCACCGTTTAAAAATACTTGAGGATGTTGGAGCTTCGCCTTCAAGTGTATAGCACGACAGCGTAATCGGGCACCATGTGCATCGCCTTCACCAATGCTAGCCTCGCTTCGATTATTTGTGCATGCCTCAACATTGCCGTAAGGAAACTGTGCGCGCAACATTGATCCTCAAACTATCCTAGAACGCTTACTGCAAGTAGCACTGCGCCTTAATTAAGTTAAGATCCCACTACGCCATAATACTTCCTTTTGCGAGTCAGTGAAGGGCCTACTACGTGTACGTAAGGAAGCACCGGATTAGTAACTGTTTACTTTATTAATGATTTTGCAGCTGATAACGATTATATAGGTCAGTGCTTCGTAATCGTCGGGCCTTTCGAAAGTTCCCACTCGTACAAAATTTCAAATGGTTTAACGAATGGCATGATTCCACGCTTCTTCCACGCAATAATACATGCGTGGAAAGGACACTAAGAGCAAACGAATATTTATGTCATCGTGAAAGGCCCATGTTTGAGAACGTCTGAAACATCAATATTGTCAAGAGCTATGCTATACTCATTGAGAAATTATGTTAAACTTAGGTCACTAGACGGGCCACGAGCCCAGAGACGTCAAACTGCCGAATACAAACTATCGCTAGTAAGAAATTGAAAAATATTTAAATTTGGTTTATGAGCTCGATCGAACTTTTCAACTAGTGGACTTCTCCAAGGCTAGACCAAACTTTCTTAGCGCTAGCGTGCATTCGCCCCGAGATTAGGGTGCCTTGATGCCCGCGCGCTCCGCTGAGGGTGAGGACAGCCGCGTCGTCTGCTACGACCACCGCCATTGCGCCTCCCCACCACAACTCGACCGTATGCGAAGCCCACACGCGACGCTCGTGTGGTGCCCTGATACGCCCGGAAACATGTGCAAGCTAGCGAGCTTTTCTTCTTATTGAAGCTTGGACATCTTTTAGAGTTAATTTTGCCTGAATGCATGCAGGGAGCGCATATTTCATGTAAGCTGACGGCTTGCGCATGATTTATGCGCTAGAGGCAGACGCTGACTCTTTCATGTGGAAAACAAATCCCTACGCCGGTTACCACAGAGGGGATTCTAAATCTATATCGGTGGTGTCGTTTATATGCTTTCTTTGTTAGTGTTAATTATTATCTGAGGCTTTTATGTTCTAAAATGACGCCTGATTGCAGGACTGCAGCAATTTTGACAATCAGTTTTTTTTGCCTGCACTGACACAGTACATGGGTGTCCTCTGGTGTTTTACGTTATTCAAAATGAGACCGCCGTGGCCTAGATCGAAAGCGTGAGCCTCGCGTCAGCAACCGAGCACCGTGCCCACGGTACCACTGAGGCGGACGCCTTTCTTATTGCATTAACTATTTCTCCACGATCTTCTCATCGCACAACTTGACTTGTTTTTTTTTGTTTTTTTGTGACATAGCGTGTTCATTCTACACAGCGGTGCCCCGTCTTGTCTTTATGCATCTTCTTTGTATGGATGCTTCGCGAGTACAGTTTGCATAAGCACTTGCGTATGATCCCTGATAGCTCACAGTATTAATACATAAATTATTTACTTAAATAATAATGCGTGCTGAAAGAGTTTAAATACTGGCGGTGTGTGTGTGTGCGTGTGTACACGCCTGCCGTTTCCCCTATTATCATCTAGTGTAGAAATAATTTATTTTTGTGCATTAATGCAGCGCTGCCAGAAGCAATTCAAATTATACGCTCTATGGCAGAATTCACTGAGTACTGTCACTAGTTGCTTCGCAGTGGTCGTAAATGATTAAAAAAACAACATCAATTGCGTAATGATTCGAGACAGGACGAAAAGAAAACTTGAAGTACAGGAACAATGAAAAAAATTTGAACTGCACACATTCTTACAAGGGTCATCACACCAGAATAGAAGGCGTACCTAAACCGAGGAAAAGATCGTAGAAAGAAAGAACCTGTGTGGCTTTGTAATGGTTTGGGCGCTCGAACGGTCGGTAATC